TTATCTCTTTTGTGTTTTTTTTCGTTCCATCAGTTGATACATCTGCCATTGTATTGGCCAATTACAGAAAGAAAGAATAAGGCTCACATTAACGTTGTGTGCGTATCCAGTATGCTGGTTGAACTGTGTAACAGAGAACAAGTTTGACCTCAGATCTTTCTTCTCGGAGCAGAGCATACACACTTTGCTCCAGGGATGTCCTTTATTGATTAAAGTCCTGAAGAGGATTTATTGAGAGAAACTAAATTATTAGAGCCAAATGACTGACCAATAGTGTGGAAAACATGTTAAATTATATAAAGTCCATACAATCTTTTAATGTGTACACTCCCCACAGCTTTTTTAATATCTACAGGACTAAAGCTGACAGTTCAATGCAGGGGCATTTTCAGGATATCTAATTTGGATCTGCAATCTTTTGATCTCATAGACAGAAGGTCAGATTATGAGCAGTATAGGAATTTAGACCAGGGTGCATCAATAATTTGTAAATATAAATTTAAGCAAATTGTTTAAATAATTAAACAATTTGAAATCTTAGACAGACCCTACACAAAATCTTCCTCTTTCTTTAGGCTTTCCTAATGTGTCTCAAATTAAGGGCGAGCGTTTTATTCGTCCTTCAATTGTTGTGGAAAACCAAAGTTGGCTTCCATCTGGCCAGCAAAAGTGTCTTCAAGCAAGATACTGAATCCCTGCCAGCTCCAGAAGTTGTTTTGTAGCTGCCCTTGTGCTTTTGACCTTCCTGGAATAAAACAAGTGGAAAAAAATATTTCTACAGAGATCAGTAAAGTTGCAATTTTATTGCATTATATGATTATTAATCCTAAAGCTGCCAAAATGACTGTCCAATGAGAATTTAACCCAGGAGATTGAAGGAAATGACTATGAGAAAGTTTCCCAGAAGTTTCCCAAAAACTCCTCGGCACTCATAATAATGATTTTTATTGTAACCGAATGATACAAAGAAAGTTCAGAATTTTCCATTAATTTTTTCACTACTAGCTGGAAAGCTAGTTAACTGGAGAAACGGATACTGGCAAAAGCAACACAAGGACTGGAAGTCTGAATCCTGACACTAATACAGATCATCGAAGTGAAACAATGCTGTCTTAAGAGTCCAGATGTCACTGGGACAACCAACTATACATCTAAATCCTATAAGAACCCATGTCAATGAATACTATTTTGCTTTTATAGCTTGTTGCTACAAGTTACTACAGGTTAAACAGATCAGTATTATTCACCAAATATAGTTTAATTCAGGTTTGTATTGTATGCGGGGTACAAATGATGTTATATCCGTCTGCCTATGGATGACAAATAGTCAACAGGCTAATTGCAGCAGTCTAGAACAGAGAATACAAGCCTTGGATTTCATGATATTACGACCACAAAACAAACTCTGTTTAGTGTCCATTACAGTTCAACCCTATTGTGCATCAACAAGACCATACACTACGATTCAATCAGACGTTAGCCAAGCTCCTATTACAGAGCTCATTGCATCGTTTACATGGTGGAACGGTCCATAAGTAGCTCTAAATGCTCTTCATTTGATTGGATTTCACATTATGGACATCAGAGCAGAAACACACTGTTGTCCCCTGACTATCCTAATAGACTGTTGAGTGAAGCAGTCCATTTGTTTGTATTTGTTTACCAATCTAGACCCTGAAAACATACAAAGTAACATAAACAGACAGTGAGAGCATCGTTTAAGACGGGTGAAAATGGAGATTCAAAAGCTCAGAAGATGGGTCGATAGCATGGTAACAAACTATTATGTTTTCCGGACGCTGTGTCTCATTGGCTGCCAAAAAAAGCTGTTGTTGTCACCAACAATAATAAAATGTCATTTAATCAGCCTTACAATGTTTTTCTTCGCCTATTCACTTCTAGCTGTCATTTTTTTAATGCCTAAAAGAGAGCCAAAACATTGGTAAAGTGCTGAAAATGCCATTACTGATAATAACACATCTGAAAACTAACAAAGGTCTGGCCATATCCTCACTACTCAGTAGGCATGTATTGTGTTGTAGTTAGCAAGAAACACATATACAGTACAGCCTAATCAGTCAGAAAAAGGCCTTGTGGAGGAGACGTAACGTAGGTGCTGGTATTTTTTTATGTCATTGAAGAAAATGAATGTTTTAAGTGGATGACAGTTAAAATGGACAGCTTGAATGTTGAAAAACGCATTGTATTGCATTGACCTTTGTGACCAGTGTAGAGAGCACACAAAGCTAGCCCTCTGACCTTCTCCATAATAGCAGATGAGTGCTTTGATGTATAATAGGCCATAATTACTTTTCTGTGCACAAGATCCACTCAGAAGAGCGCATATTGATAGAGGCCTGGACATATCTGAAATGGAACAATACCTTAAGGTCACTACATCAAGTAGTGCCTTTATAGTTTAGCCTTGCATAGATTCAATCTTGGAAGAAAAAAAAAGAAAAAACACTTCAGCACAGCATTTTTGCACGCAGCTTTCCACCTAAAGTCTGCTAAGAATGAACAACAATTTGTGGTGTCCTCCAGAAAAGAAGAAAACAGTTGGGGCCACAAACTTGAAAGATAATAACAGAGGACCTTTCTCTGCTTGACTTCTTTTTTCAGTTAACATGCAGCTTATCCTAAAGAGTTCGCTGTATTTCTAACACTCAACATTATTCTTAAAATGGCTCCATGCTCGTCCTAATTACTTTTCTATATTGCCATTATTCTTTAGAGCAATATTATTCTGTCTAAACAATGAGGGATTTCCATGGACTTAACTATGAACCACATTCAGTCTGATCTCCACTGATTGGATTCTGTAAAGTCGAAGAGGCCTTGGCCTCGAGTAGAGTACACAAATAAAGGATCTTGGAGACAATGGTACCACAGAATAGAAAAGAAAAGCTATGAGCTGTTATTCTCTTTGTCTCTCTATCTTGTTTTCTCTCTTTTGAATACATTCTTACCACTGTCGTGTTTATGCACGCTTGATATTTGTATATAGACTGTGTTTAGTATAAATTTCATGCTGTTGACATATGCCGCTCCACTTATAAGAGGATGCCAAATAAATGCCCCTGGTTAAACAGAAAAAGAAAATTTTAAAAAATGTTTAACCTGGACAACTGAGCCAGATTTTTCTTTTGCTTTTTCTTTCTTCATTTTTCTCCCATGCTCCAAAATATACTCTACATATTACAATCCAAATTTCCAAGCTTGTGCTTTATCAGCACCGGAAAAAGTTTTTCAAGTTAATGTTATCTGCATACACAATAAAACGGTTGCAATTGTGCGTATTCTGTGTAACATGGCTCTAAAAATATTCTACAGCTCTTTTGTATTGAAACCCTTTGTTAAAGAGACTGTATTACCTGTACATGGTTCCCCTGAAGACAAAAATATTTATTAAGGAAATGTATACCAGCAGATTACTGTAAATGGGTTTCATGCAAATACATAAATTGCATAGATAGCAAAGAAAACAATGATACTCTGTTTGGACTTCATTAAGCTGAAAGGCTCTAAAATACATTTGTAAAACCTTACTTCCAAACTGTGAGCAGAGGTGTGTGGCTTCATTGCCCAGTTGGAAACCTTGTGGTCACTTTCCTTCTGCAGATCCTCAATGGTCTGAACCAGCACCTGGTTCTGGTCTGTGAGGTCATTGACATAAGACCGCAGGAAATTCACTTTCCTCTGCAAGAATAACAGCACAAAAGGATCAAACAGTGGTTTATTTGCTGGGTTTTAACAAGCTGACAGTCCAACCAAGCAGGTTTCTTCTATAATACAAATTGTTTTATTTTATTGAGTCAAATCAATGACAAACTAAAATTCCTGTTTGGAACAAGAGAGCAATAAACGCATCATTTGTGCATAGAAAATGATGTACACTCAAAGAAAATCCAGCAGTTTTGCAGAAGAATGACATTGATATACAACTATTCTGTATTAGCTTTGTATGCTCTGGGGGAAACATAATCACATTTATTATGAACATATGAACACAATATTCAAAAGTATCTGCCAAATTTTCACTGGTACGTTTTCATTTGCTTTCCCTACCATATACACCCGTGTGGACTGTGATGTGTTTATTTATGAGTATGTTTAGGCAAATTACACATTACGCATATACACATTAAGTAAGAGAAAGATCATTGACAAACACACAAAATACAATATTAAAGGTTTAAAACACACTGAAACAGAGCATGGGAAGGGACACAAATTGCAGTCCTCCCTGTTGAAGTTAAGCATTAAACCAATGCATCCAGCCCGATTTCCTCTCTGCAACGTCTCACTGTAAGAACATTACGATCGCTATTGCAAATTAGTTGCAATATGAACGTTCCTGAGAGACAGAGTTGCAAAGACAGTAAGTCATTTTCGTTGACCTATAAATGTAGTAGTCCCTCTTGGCAAATCAGTGTTTTTGACAGAATTGACAGATTACAGAAGTGAGATGCATGATTTTCACGAGCTCCATCAAACATCAAATTGATGTCAGATATCTCTTTGACACGCAACTGAATGAACAGAAAAACAGGGACTATGCACCAGGGAACTAAAAATGTATGTTGCATTTAGTTTGATTTAACCCTTGTGTCTTTAGGGTCGTCCCCTTTAGATTAAGAATCTCATTTAACAGGGAAATACATGGGGTGAGGAGTCAAAAGCCTTGCAGGGTGGGTCGTGATTCTTTTGCTTTGTGACAAAAACACACATCTGAAGACAACTAGCTGAAATTGTAGTGATTATAAAACCTACGGCTGACGGCCACAGGCTCTCGCTCCATCGCAAACAAGCAGTCCACGCACTTTAAACATCTGGAGTCAGTCTTCTAATATGCGAGCAGCAATACCACGCGTTTGAGGGAGGCTAAGATATGTAATAGCCTAAGATAACATCATCAAAGCTGATGATGCTTTTACATCAGACTTACGGCAGCTCCGTTGTCTATTGTGGTACATTTTCAGCTGCTCTAGTTATGTTTAGTTTAATAACACATCCATTATAACCACAGGCTTGTTGTTAGTAGGGCTTAGTAGGGTTGAATTTCCTGTACAAACCATTCCCCTACTTTCATCACAAAGCATCACTCTCACGAGGGGTATTGAACTGGTTTGGAAATTTAAAACATTGTTTCACTTTCCAAAACCCAAAACCTCTCTGCCAGACAAGGACATGGAATAATCTTGGCTTTCATTCAGCAGCCCACGTAGGATTCACAGTAAATGACCTCTGAACTGTATTATTAGAAAGGAATACTTCATGAGCAAACAAGAGTACGTAGTTGGTCAGGGGTTAGGGCATGTTAGAGAAACATGTTATTCTCTGTTGCTGCTTTGTGTCTGGAAGAATGCATTTTAAGTTCACATTTTATTGTGTACAAAAAATAGGTCACCCAAACATGCTCCACAACTGACAAAATATATCAAATCCTCACGGTTCTTCAGTACAGTCTTTTAGTTCAGTCTTTCATCTCAGTTAAAAAAAAAACGTACTTGTGAACTTGTTCCTTTAAGGGGTTGTACAGGTAGCCGGATAGCCAACATATACAATGATTGCAGCGCCGACAAAAGGGAGTGCCACTGAATGTCAGAATTATTTTGCCTTAGAGGAGCACCTGTACATCTGTGTTCAAAAACGTCTGTCCCCTACGGCCAAAGAAGTCAACGAGCAGTTTCTACCGTCCCCTGACGCATAACATAACACTGATGTCTAGCTTCAGGGAGAGTAACTTTACAAAGACTGTAGATGTGACAGTGTGTAAGATAACATTCTAAGGTTGGCATTGTATTTTAAGGTGTGGAATTTAAAATGAATCTATCATATGAAACTCAACATGTTGTTTTACTGTATTCCAGCTTTGGAACAGCTATTCGTGATCACTTAAGCACAGGACAAATATACTTTATATATACTTTCTATTCATGTTTTAATTGGAAGTTTCTCCAAGTGTTTTAACATGTTAGGAAATATCATAAACCTACAATGGGTTCATGGATGAATGGGCGCTGTGTTTTCAATGGACAAGCTTTATGATTAACCGTCCACTTCAACCTTTAGGACTAGGGAGCTCCTGGGTTCTAAACACATAACCTTGTTAAGGAGGCCCGCGACTGGGGCCGGCTGACCGAAACCCATCTCTGAAACCTTGTTAAACTTGCTTTGATGCACAGCCCAGCTCACACAGGCTACATTCTGCAGCTAAATGATGTCACATGACAATCCTGATGATTAGAAACCTCTCTTTTTTAAATATGAGTGTGGATCTGTGTTCCTGATCTCTGCCGCTTAGATGGAAACATAATGCAATTTGCCACCTGTTACAAGTGCTGCGGCTTTATGAAAGCACCCTTGCGCTTCCTCCTGTCATTTGTCTGACAGGACGGAGGTCATCTTCTGATGCCCGAGTCACGGTGGACAGGATGCTCTTTGATTTGTATCGGATGGATGATAACCTGTAATGACAATAGATGTCGGTAGAAAACTGCACATCTTGTAGAGACTTTGGGTCTGAATGGGCTCCTCGATATGCTGTATTTTTAAACAGAATTTATGTAGTTGTCTAGATGGTTACCTATGGAGGCTGCAGTGACCACAATAAAATGAGGACTGGGTTAATTTAATCACTAGAAGTCAATATTTGATAATGTCTGATCAGATAACTCTGCTGTGTCTTGGCCCTATTGGAAACAAACACAACAAAAGTTACTGGGAACAAAACATCTCTGGCAACAGATGAGTTCTTTGATGTGAACATAAATCAACACAAGTGTGCTAGGATGACTATTACAGAACATTTGCATAACTTTTCCCTGTCTCGCCAACTGCAGCGTTAGTTTCATATATCAGGACTCATAAATCACAGTTCAGGGGTCATAATGGCAGCGGTGGGATTCGAACCCACGCCTCCAGAG